CGTATAATTTCAACTTCACTCTAATTTCTACATTTATTTTTGGGGACTATTTTTTTATTTTACATAGATTACGCAGGAAACATTTATTATTGTCGAGAGTTAAATATTAAATACCGGAATTGTTCTTTATTTCAGTATAATTCCTGGAAAATACTGAATCCAAGTGTTGGATGGAAAAGGAGAACATTGACGAATCCGTGACGGATAAGTATACACGTGTTCTCACAATCACCTACTATGCTCTCGGTTTTCTACCTTTTGTTTTTTCTCCACCTACTATTCTTTATATTTGTTATATACATTTTTTGTTTCTCCAGTGTAAGTGCAAATGTAAGTGTAAAATTTTTTTAGTGAAAGTGTGAGTGAATTGAATGTCTTAAACTTATTTGAATTATAACAGCAAACAATTTTCGGAAATAAATCAAACATTTAAGATCAGGTCTCTTACATACGAATTTTCAAATACAAAAAAATGTTGCAAAACTTAAAAAAGAAAGATCATTAGACCTGAAAGGAGCGGTTTTCCAAGTGTTAAACTTGAAGGAGTAACCGGATCAGGCTCTAATTCAACATGACGGCATAATCGTGAATATTAGATCGAACTTCCCCTCGCGTCTCTCTCCCGCAGTTTGTGATCGATTCAGAACACACTAAATGAACATGGAAATAATATAAGCATCGACGAATAACTGCGGTCGGTTATGTAAATTGGGCAATAAAAAAAGAACAATTGGTATTTATTCGTTATTGCTCCCACCCACTGCCAACGTAGTCAGCTTCCCTTATAGTTTAATAAATTCAATAAAATTCTTGAACAATTCCGTGCAAATCTTCTGAAGCTTCCTTCCCCCGACTGCACACTTTTATATTTACCCGCATATTATGAATACCTCAATTTTGCAATGCGACGAAATGCAATCAGTTTTGTAAACAATAAGGAATAAGCCGCAACGACCAATCATCAGCCACTACGGATAATAATTCAGTGACGAGTTAATTCGCGCGCACATTTGGCCGATTAGGGGCGGACCATTTTACAATTCAAATTGCTTAAAGCGATAAGGGTTTATGTATACCTTTTATAATTCTCACGCTTTATTGCATCAAGCGGGGTAAAATTTTTTTTTAAATCTGTCTTTTATTTTTTAAAATATAAAGTACCCTTTCAATCATCTTGGCAAAAATGTATATATATATTTAAGGTGACAACTATTTAATAGAAAAAAATATAGTGGTAGTGTAAAAAGAAATTCGACAAAAAAAAAAAAATTTTACTGCCTTCTTGTGTAAGAATTTGGTCGACAATTTTTTTAAACGCATATCTTCATTAAATTAATATAATATAATTATTAATTAAATCCCAGTTGCTCAAGTACATTTGCACGATGTAAGTTTATCTGATGATAAAATTGAATAAGAACCACAGAGATGATTTATCACAACCCTTAATAATAATTAATCTCCCTCGTTGCAAACGATCGAGTGTTTAACGGATTTTGTATATAATCTCGAAGAGAAAATCCGTTAAGACTTGACTCGGAAGTCGACAAAACAATAGATCATGGATTTAACAACACTCTCAACGAGAGGAATATAGAATATAAGCCGAGAGAAAAGAGGAGGACAAATTTCATGGGGGAAGACAATTAGGTACTCAAGTTCATAGACTGCACTAAAAAGATTTTTTTATCCCTAACAAATATACGCTCGAGATTTGAAAGTTTGATAGAATTTTATGCAAATTATATTGAATTAAATTAAAAATTCATTAAATTTTGTTAAGTTTCTCATTTAATTAAAAATTTATTAATTTTGCACAAATAAATTTAAAATTAATTTAAAATTGAAATGAATTTATGACTAACTCTTTTTTATTCATTATTCGACACGTTAAAAAACTAATCTCGAGATAAAGACGAAGATTATATCCATCATCACAGGAAGTGAGGATGATATATAAAGAAATCGAAAGAACGAGAGCGTCATCAAAGAAACCATAAAACTTGAAATATAGAAGTGGGGCTTGGTGGATAGTTAAAGTTTGCGTACGCGGAATACGAGAAGCGAAGAAAATAATCAGGAAACCTCGTCATTGAAAGGCGCATCATCCTATTCATGTCGCGTCTGCCAGTGGTACCGGAAGTCGTATATCCGAAAGGGAGACAAAGCCAAAAAAACGTGCATACACATCCAGATATAAGGGTGGAGGGGGGGTTGGAGGTTCTGTTTCATCTCGTCTTTTGTCTCGCATCCTGAGAGAGCCTCAGATGAATATAAGAAGTCTGAATAGATCGGATGATCCTAAGGTAGGTCAGTCCATTCTAGTCTCGATTGTCGAAGGAGAATCCGTCCAACTCTCCCTCTCTTTCATCACCTGTGTTCACCAATTAAGAACTACGCTTCCTTCTTCGTTTTTAATTGTTTTATTCCTTTAAAGATTGAAGAAGCCGATACCCGGGATGAAAAATGTATTAGGCGCATATATACCAATAAACCCCGAAAAGCATTTCGGGTTATACAATTATAGACTAAAGTTACCAGTGTAGAAATTTCCCTACCAGGGTCCTAGTAGTGAATAAAACGCCACGCCCGATCAGGGACACGAAAAAATGTGGATTTCTTAATCAGGGCCACATCAGGCGCGGCGTTTCATTTCGGTTCGATCCGGGCCATGGAAAAATTTCTACACGGGTATTGAATTTAATTGCTACAAAAATATTTGAGTATAATTTTTAAGAATTAATTCTATTTTTATTTATTATATATTAATTATTAATTCTACTTTTTTAAGTGCGCCAATATGGAAAATTATCATGTCGGGAATAAAACATCAACATATATTTGCAATTCATTATAAAACCGGCAATGAAAATTTATTATATGAAAACGCATAATACAACATAATAAAGAGTGGTGAGAGTGATGATGAACGCTCAAATGGATGAAGGTTAATAATATTCACTGTATTTTACTGTTCCGGAAATAGAATATTTAGTCGACTGTTCTTAATTCAGATGAAGATATTATATTTCTAAGGAATTATCGATCCAATACAAGGACCACATTATTTCAAGCAATAATTGTTTAATATTTCTCTTATTATTCTCCCGAGAATTATAATTGTCGATTAAAAATGCTCTAAATATAAACAACCCACAAGATAAGCTAGAAATAAAATTGACAATTGTGATTATATAAATTTAGTGAAATTTTTAATATTTATATTTATTTTATAGTAGAGCATTAATCATCAATTTCTCAGAACTACAAGCAACATCAAACAATTTGCAAAATTCCATACACGTTTAAATTGATGTAAAGTAATTTGTCCCATTTACACAATTAGCAATTTATACATATATTAATGATGATACATTAATTATGCATTTTGATGACAAATTGCACAATTTTGTGTTTGAGGAAACGAACGTTATTGAAAATTTAACTGAAACTTTTTTAATTTATTTCAACAAAAAGTGAAGAATACTGACAATTACAAGTGGGCGGGACTTGGAACATCAAGAAGGGCAGAGTCAAGAAGGACGAGCACAACAGTGACTAGACAATATTGTAAAAAGAGGAATAACGTATGTGATGCGCGGGCGCGTTCCGCCTACGCACATCCCTCCTAATAAATATGATAAAGGTACACTTGATGCAGACAATAATCCCTCCATAGAAACCCAGAAATGTCAAATTTCAACAAATGTCTACAAATTTTTTGACTCAAAATAAGTTGTAGTCAATTTTTGGCCTGAAAATGAAACCATGAAGGTTTCGTCTCAAAGTTGGTTGAAATCAGGATTTAATTTTTTACTCTTTTGATTAACATAAAAACGAATTTTCAAATTGTTTTGGAATATTTGAAAGTTTCAGTTTGAAAATTTAAAAACTTAATTTTTAGTTTCCAAGACCTTAAATAATTGTGGGCTATATACTTATACTATGTTCATTTTTTTCAACAAAGTTTGAAAAAATCAGGGCATACGGATCTACCGCAAACGAGTTTTAATTTCTTTCTGAAAGTGGACAGTTATATGGATATCGATTATCGAGGCGTGGGCTTGAAGTCGTTGCGTCATGATTCTATTCAAAAGGGGAAATCGCAATAAGAAAGGAAGATATACCCTTGCGTTCAATATGCATATACATATAGCTATTTTCAGAATGGACAATTTATCTACTACTACGACGTTCGTTAAATTGAGCTACAGGTGTTTTATACTATATGTGCACTTCATCACGAAATCGCAATCATTAATCAAACAATTAAAACAATATTCGACTGTAATCAATTTGCAAACTTTTTATTTTCTATTTATGATAGATATAAGATTGATTTATTCTCTGAATCAAAAAAGTCAGAAATTCTGAAAATACATCATGGAAAGCAATTTAGATTATTTGGTAATAAGAAGCAAACTTTCAAAATACAAACTTAGAAATTTTTTCACCAAAGTAAAAACTATTGAATCCAAAAAATTTGATTATTTTAAACTTTTATAGTAGAGGCTATGAGAATAAAATACAATTTAATAATAAGGTACATTACTTTAATAAATTAGAAGTTAAAAATATTTATTTTTAACTTGAAATTTAGGTACAATTGCAATAAATTACAATTTTGAGAATTGCATTGAGAATAAAAAAATGTTCCTTGCTTTTTAATAAAACTTAAGATTACTGGATTTTTGTCTCTCTTTGAGAGAATGTTTAGTTCTCGTCTAAACAATGTTATCAGCGAAGACAATTATTCTGTATGTATGCTTTTCAGATTTCAAAATACTGAATAGTTAATTTACATATGCACGAAAGACAAACTTCAAGTATTAAACAAAGAGAGGTTTTTTTAAAAAAAAGAAAAGTATTTCACTTTCTCAAAAATTGTGTAATGAAAAAAGTCTATAAAACATTTTAAAAATTTCCCAAGATAAATAAATGAACAAAAAATAAACAAAGAATAAAAAGAAATCTCTAAAAAGTAGAAAAATTTAACTCACCCTGTGCAAGTCTTCTGGCAACCGGCTTGGATCTCATCGCTGGATGCAAAAAAATAAAGCCCAGATACTGTTGAGAACGTCAGTTCCAGTGCGGTGAGCCATGCGCTCCACAACCGATCGTCCCTTGATCTCGACTCGCGAAATTCTCTCAATTCTCATATAAAATTATAATGATCCAATAATTCAGTTTTCAAAAACATAAAATCCTTTCGATAAACACCACTAAGTCACGAATCACTGTAATCAGGAACCGACTTTCAAAATCGGTTAAAATTCAAAACGAATTAAAAAAAACATTCATGATCCATAGATCCGATCTATGCATATAGATAAAGATTTAGAGGATCGTCACTTCCCTTCGGTCGTGTTCTAGACGCACGATGGATCTGTCCCCCGACAGAGGAGGCTTCTCTGTCCTCTGCAAGTCTCCTCTTTCTCCACCCTCTCTGGTCTCCCTGTTATAACCCCCTTCCTCGTCACAGCACAAGAACCCCTTCCACTGGAACTCTTCCTCCACCTTCTTCTGAAACGACGCTCCTCCGTGTGTGTATATATACAGAGAGAGAGAGAGAGAAAACTATATATTCTCCCTCCCGTTAAACTCGTCGCGTCGACGTCGCGGACTTGCGGCCGTCGACGATAAACCTCACGTCTTCCTCGCACCCTTCCTCACCTGGACTCGCACAACCTGCACTATACTCTCCCCACCACTGAGCTTTCCCGGATCCTGTCCACCAATGATCAACCACTGTCTTTGTCTTCGTCGTCGTCCGATTCTCTTATACTATTCTCTTTGCTACCGTTTGTGTGGAGTTGCTTCGCACTCACCCTATACAGGTTCATTGACTCGATCGTTATCCTCAATCCACCCTCTATTTCCTCCTTTTCTTTTTTTCGTCCAATTTTTTCCTGGACTCAAGAAAACGACAATTATTGACAATTATTTTTTAGGTTATATGTCACTACGTGACCTGTAATATTTATTTTTTATTGTTTTCTAAACATTTTTTATAATAAAACATTTTAAATAAGAGCGCCTTTTTCTACCAATGAGAGTTGCAGTAGCGCAAGCGCAGTTGCGTTTGGTGACCGTTGTTGGCATCTTTGGTCCCTTATACTGTGGAGCGTACGCAGTTGCCTAATACCATTTTTTACAGTTAAATTAATTGCTTTTTTAGGTAATTATAATCTTACTGTGTCTTAAAGAAAAATTGAGGTTATATCTAGGCTAAACGTGAAATCTACTTTACCGACAAACAATAAAATTAACAGATTTTATGTTAAAATTTTGTTTGAGGTTATGTTCTAGTATCGAACCTCCTTAATAAGAGCATGTGACGTCATCAATTCATTTATCAAAAATTCCTACTTTTCTTTTTACAAATGACAGCCATCAAATCCTGATTCTGAGAAATGATTTATAGATATATACACCATCATTTATTTCTTAATTGATTTGTTGGACTTGATCGACGAATAACAAAAAATGGTCTTTTTCCATATTCTTCTTTGTTTCTCCAAATTAATAAACTTTAAATTCTGTAAATCTCATTGTTAAAAGAATTTTTTTAATTTTTAAATCTGAGATAATTAAAGTTAATAGTTCAAAAAAGCAATAAAAGGAATGAAGATTCCTTAAAGTGTCACGTGAGTAGATCGAGGAAAGTGATCGATAACTGAAGGGGGAAGGATGACTAAACGCGATTGAAAATTTGAACTCATTCAATCATAGTCGCATTCCTATGACAATGTTAAGATTTACTATTATAATTTACTCACTTCACTTCATTGAAAATTTTGTGGCATTTCTGAAGCCGATTTCATCCGGTGTATACATATATATATATCGTTATATAGTCTTTAATTTCGTCCTCGTCACACCTGCACGACTTTACGACCAACACTCGGCTCGCGTTTTATCCTCGCGGTGTTAAAAGTTCCGCGCACTCCTTGGAGCGCAGCCCCGCCCTTCCCTGCACTCTTCATTCGCGCCCCCTTTTCGCGTCCTCAACAGCATCCGCTCTTCCTCACCTCCTGTGTACATTTACAAACTATATATACGTATATATATCCACCCCTACAGGTACTGCCCTTTGGTTTCTTCGTTAAGAACTATAATGTCGTGATATTAACCATTATCCTTCAGAATCTTCTGCCAAATGCGTCTAATAAGAAAACCCTTTTTAAACACTATCTTTCCAAAAAGTTCGGATAGCGTCGAAACACAACATATATGTTTGAATTTTTCCACTGAGGAATTATTTCCTAGTTCTGGCCGAAATTTTTTCTTTTAATTGCGGATTGTAATTTTTTCCAAATTTTATAGAAAAAATTTCCATCTAAATTAATTAGAATTAATTTTAACTTCTTATTTTGAGTACGCATATCTTAAATATTTTCTCGTCAAGAAATACAATTATAGGTATCGGTAGATTACATGAGCTTCTCAAATCATAAGTATAGCGCAGTTATTTTAATGAGAACTGCAGGAGCTCACGCATTTGCAGCGGTTACAAACCGATTGCATATATACAAGACGTGTGGCACACACGGAAATATCGCAAATGCAGTTGGTGCCCGGCTAAACGGTCTCATGTTTATTTTCATCTGAGAAATCGTAAATTCACCTTAGTCTCAGGCTACTGAGAGAGATTTTTAAATCCATTGTGTCAAACTGTATAACTGCAAAAATCTATTGTCTCAATAATGAAAATTCAATCGTACATAATGCAAAAATGATTTACAACAATTAAATAAATTATTAAATTAAATATGAATTTAAATTAACCTATAAGCTTGAAGAAAACTTACAATTTTATTGGAAATGAGTATGTTAATTCATAATTGTAATTCCCAATAAAATATTTTTTCACTTTTTGTTACCCTATTTTTCTCAGTGTATTTTTTTATTGTTATTTAATTCAATAAACAATTTTATGGTTAAAAAATCGATTTATATCATTTAAATGTCGTTTTCAAGAAATATGATATGGCGTGCAAGTATTGAATTTATAATAGGAATGTAGCGGGAGTTGATTATTTGAAAAGACGAGCGAATCGAGTCCAAGCAATCTTTCTCAAGTATATATATGCAGAATGACCGTTTTTAAAGCACTTAACAGCGAATCTAATTTTATTTACAACTCGTAACTTGAGCGTCTTAGATCTTCGATCACTGATTTGCGTTGGTTCGATTACGGCCCCTCGTCATAGAAAATGTCGACTGAACGAGTCACATTGGAATAATTAATTTTTTGTATTATGTAATTACTTTTCTATATGGATCATCAACTTATTCATCTTATTTTCACTTTAAAAAATTAAAATTCAAACTTATTTTTTTCGTCAACATATTTCGAAAGTCGATAAAAAAATGAAACTTTATTTTTTCTTAGCAAAAATGTTCCTATAAATTCAATACTTTTAGACTTAGTTGTCATTGAAATTAGGTCTATTTTTAAAAAACCTCGAAAACCCCAGATTTTTAAAAATTCATAACTTGAAAATTTGGGCACTTATAAAAAATTACATATACCACTTTTTTCTGCAATGAACGAATTTAAAGTGTTACAAAAAATTACAAAAAATAATGTAACTGTTAAAAATATAAACCGATACGTAAATCGTTTATGAAACATTTATTTACTAAAGTAAATGTGACGTAGAATATAAAAGCAGGAGTGTCGGTTGCTCACTCAAGGCAAAATTGGTCTCGGTTCAGTTTTCAATGTTAGTGTTCTGTAAACCGACACCTTCAGTTCTCTTTTGCTCTTCGTCAAAAGGCCTCAAAATATTCGAGAATATTTTTTACCATCTTCAAAATAGAAACAACTTTAAAGATTTTTTTGTTTTGTTTTTTAAACATATTAATCATACTTTGCATCGATTTTGATCATGAATTAAAGATATGATTGTCATATATACTGCAATTTTACATTGATTATGAATATAACGCACAATAGTTGGAAAATAATTCCAAAACTGTGAAAGGTCAGTCTTCAAAACATTACAGATTCACAAGTAATGCGTTCAGGAGCGTGAAGCAGGTGTTCAACTGGTATAGATATATAAACAGAGGGTGTAGATAGTATATGTGTATATATATGTGCATTCACCTTTGGCGCTGGTATTAAAGTTCCGAGTATAGAAATTGAAAACGTGCTTGTGTTCGTCACCGCGACTCTAACGCAAAATATAGTCTGCATTTCTTCAAAGAACACAAAGAATACTTTTACTTTTTATCTTAGTCATTAAAAATCAGTTTACTCTCTACATACTCGTGTGGAAATTTGTCATGGCAGACTTGATAAAAGTTATAGTGTATAACTATATACTAAATATGACATCAACTGATAAACTATTATTACTAACAGACATTTCTCTAAACCTTACTTGACTAATTAAAAGAAAATACATATATTAATTTACCTTGATAAGTTTCTTAATTAAACCAATTTCATTTTTACATACTGTAACATTGAAAGGGCAAACAACGCTTCATTTTAGAGTAATAAACAACATAAAATTTAAGTAGCCTGGACTATGCTAAAACTGTTCTACTTATTGAGTTATAACTACTTTTCTCCAAACTTATTTACATCTTTTAAAAACAATTTTCTTTCAAAGTTTATACTTACCATCTTACAATCCTTACCGATCAGGCGGATCTTTATCAAGATTTTTCAAAGCCATTTTCGTCCTTTTTTACGTTTTGAATTTTAACAATAAAAGTCATTTTGACCAAGTCAGATAAACGAAAGGTTATTGAAAGGTTTTAAAATAAAAAAGAAAGCATGTCAGGAAAAAGGTGGGTGTAAGGGTCCGTTAAGAGATATGACGTATATTAGGGACACTCTGGTCGAGTGGAACACCCGAGAATTCAGAACCCTCCTTATGTCCTTTTCTGACTATAAAAACCACTCGCTTTCCTCGACCCTCAACTAAAAGGCTAATCCCTCCCCCTATTCAATTTTGATCGATCAGAAAATGCTATTTTACCTCTCGATTGGACGATTGCTCTCAAAGTGGATCTCTCAATTAAAGTGTCGTAAACTTGAAATATATATTATTCTCACGAAAGAAAGACAAATCGTAATATTTGTAAGAAGCTTCACAGTCATCGATATAACGTACGTGAGTTGTGTAATAGACAAAAGCTAAGTGGGGTAAACTTTTTCGATCGATACCACTTGAGACATTATATACCTTGGCAAAGATTGGAGAAGGAGGTTTACACCCTTTTTTACACCCTCTCGCTTTCCGCTCTTGTACGACTTCGAGGAAACATGAAATACTTCAACACTCTAACAGTCTTCATACTGTTAGTCCTGGAAGCTTCATCGTCAGTTTATCTACTTTCCTGCCTTTTATCTGCAATTCTTAGGCGCGCACATAAATGCTACTCAACTCTTGCGGATTTGCGCGCGCGGCAGTTTACTACGACTTTCCCGAACTGACATTTCAAGGAATAAGAAAACAACCTACTAAATTGCAAATACCTAGAAAAAGGGAGAACTTCTTCTAAAAATGAATAATCATTTTTTTCCACGAGACGTGCAGTCTATCGAAATATATTTATGTAAATCTTAATCATTTATAAAAGCTCGGAATTATGTCACCAATTACATTTTGAGAGTTTAAACAATAGAACAAACAGTATGAATATAAATATAATTAATCGATCAGAGACATCAGCACCAGCATTCTCACTGCCTCATTGATGAATAAAAACTTTACTTTGGATTTGAAATGAAATTCTTCCCGATAGGCAGTGAAAAAATCAAAAGGGCGTTAAATTCTTGGAGCTTATTACGTAGGTGTGTATAAGGTGGAGGAGATTAAGGGGAAGGGGTTAAATAAGGCAGGTATGTCGTGCAGCC